TGAGCCACTGCGCCCGGCCAATTTTTGTATTTTTAGTAGAGATGGGGTTTCACCATGTTGGCCAGGATGGTCTCGATCTCTTGACCTTGTGATCTGCCCGTCTCAGCCTCCCAAAGTGCTGGGATTACAGGCGTGAGCCACTGCGCCCGGCTGCAACTCCTTTTTCTTTCTTTTACAGACTGTGACAAAGCCTTTCATCTCTTGCAGGAACCTCGGCTCCTCCCCTCGTTCTCCCCCTGCTCTTCACCCTCCATCTACCCTCATAGCCCTCAGACTGTCTTCACATCCCGAGGATCCCCTCCTCTACCCTGCCCCACATTCTCCTCTGGGAGCCCCTTCTTGGCTCTCCATCTGAAAGGGCCCAAGCCTGTTTCTCAGTACTTTCCTCCCCCAGAATTCTCTCCACTGCATCTACTTGGCTTTTGTGTCTGCATTTACACCTATGCCTGCATCCTGGGGGCATGTGCCATCTCCCTCTTTGGGCAGAGAGAGTTGCTGTGTCTTCCTCGCCCTTGCTAACCACTGCCCCCTCCTCCACTATCCCCCGGCCTCCAGCTGCTAGTGGACGGGGCAAGTCTCTGCAATTACGGTGCCACTGAGGACAATGAGGGAGTGATGGATGATGAGGGGTGCTCCCTTAGGGAAAAACCAGCCCTGGTTCTCCATCTTATTTCTGAAAAAGAGTTTGTTGGCTGCTTTTCAATTAAAAGCAGATGATTAATTCAGCTCTGGCCTTGTTCTGTCTTTGAATAACAGATACATTAGTTTACTTGAAAAGAAATACTTTCATTTGTATTTCCATGTCACCTGTGATTTTCCCTGCCTTGCACCCTCAGCCCTGCCAGTTGGCAAGAAGACGGTCAGCAAAGCTGCTGCTAAGAGGAGTATAAAGAGGGCTTGGTCCAAGCAAAAGGGCAGTGGTCTGGTCCATCGGCAACATGCTGCGCTTCCTGGTGTTCGCAACCCTGGTCCTTTATGGTAAGTGGATCATGTGGCCTGAGGTCTACAGGGAGGGGGACTTGGGCAGGAGGGTCAGCAAATCTTCCCTAAGCCCAGGCCAGCACCCTGTCCCAGGACAGGTGGGACGCTCTGCCTGCAGAGTGTCCTTTACTCTCCTGGAGGCCAAGATAGAAAAGATCAGGGCCACTGGCTATTCAGGCCCCTCTGGGTGGCAGGTCCCTGGGCCACAAAGCAGAGAGAAGCCTCTTCTGGTAGTGGGGTGGGTCCCTGGGCTTCCCCACCACCCCCATTGACAGGAGGACTTCCTCAGCAGGTACCTGGCTGGGGTATGCACTGCAGGCCCTGCACCCTGGAGAATCCTGCCAAAGCATTACGGGGCTGGGGGGGGGTCAAAGAATGGGGGGGTCTCTTCAGGCCAAAGGGTGATCTTGAGCAAGGAGGAGACCACAGGGAGCCTCTGGGGCCTAGTCTGGTGGTTTAAGAGAGGTCCTTCATAGCATGCCAGAGTTCTGGGAACACCCGAGGGAAACAGAAGGCACCCAGGCACCCCTGCTTTCAAAAGGGACTCAGAGAACTCACAGCTGGGCCCCTCATTTATTAGAGAGGAGCTGTGAATTTGCAGACAAGGCCAACATTCCTCAAAACACAACCGCCACCCCCCACCCCTACCCCTGGCTGACCCCACGCTTAGTCATCACTCACTTTTCTTCTGCCCCACAAAGGACACAGCACCCAGGACTTTCCGGAAACCAACGCCCGCGTAGTGGGAGGGACTGAGGCCAGGAGGAATTCATGGCCCTCTCAGGTGGGTGTTCCTTCCCAGCCCCAGACTTCCACCCAAATAAGAGCGCAGCGCATGACATAAGATGTGTGTGTTTGTGCATGTCCCTATCAACAAGCAGCTCTCCAACTGTTTAGGTTCTAGATTTTAAAGATGGATGGGATCAGGCTTAGGTGGTTTTCTAAATGCAAAAGGGCTTGGAGGAGGATATTTATACACGAGCCACACTCCCTCTTCAAGGCACACACCCAAACACAAGATACATTTGTATTCCCAGCGACAGCACTTGTGCCACGCAAGAAAGACTGGGTGCCAGACACACACCTTGGACTCCACATACCTTGAAACACATGCACACCACTCCACACTGCCACACTGTGTGTGTCACAATGCTTGCACGTGTGCACACACACACGTACAGCATGCGACTTAGTTGGCTTTTAGAGTTTCCACTTTCCTAACAGGGCAGCTGGGCCCTGATTTAAGCAATCTAAACATGTAAACCTGGCAAATTAAGTGGCGAAGATCCACACTTTGAAAGGATATCACTGCAACCAGAGTTTCAGCTTATAAAAGTCTGAGCCCCAGTTTTCAGGAGTAGGGCTATTACATAATATGAGGTGCTAGAGGAAGAGATATGAACTGATAAAAATGAACATCCCATTGGTATTTCTTTCTTTTGTTTTTCTTTGAGATGGAGTTTTGCTCTCATTGCCCAGGCTAGAGTGCAATGGCATGATCTCAGTTCACTGCAACCTCTGCCTTCTGGGTTCAAGCAATTCTCCTGCATCAGCCTCCTGAGTAGCTGGGATTACAGGCGCCTGTCACCATGCCCAGCTAATTTTTGTATTTTTAGTAGACACGGGGTTTCACCATGTTGGCCAGCTGGTCTCAAACTCCTGACCTCATGTGATCCGCCCGCCTCAGCCTCCCAAAGTGCTGGGATTACAGGCGTGAGCCACCGCACCTGGCCTCCCATTGGTATTTCTAAGTAGTCCCTGAGGTGGGGATTCAGGAGATGTCTTGAAAACACTGAAGGTAGAGCTCTGGAGACCTAACCCTGTGGGGCTTAGGTGATGGAGCAAATCTTTGGCTATAGTTCCTTTTTTTTTTTTTTTTTAGCAGGGGGGCAGATGGGGTCTCGCTCTGTCACCAGACTGGAGTGCAGTGGCGCGATATTGGCTCACTGCAACCTCCACCTCCTGGGTTCAAGCGACTCTCCTGCCTCAGCCTCCCGAGTATCTGGGACTACAGGCACGTGCCACCATGCCCGACGAATTTTTGCATTTTTAGTAGAGATGGGGTTTCACCATGTTGGCCAGGATGGCCTCGATCTCCTGTCCTCGTGATCCACCCACCTTGGCCTCCCAAAGTGCTGGGATTAGAGGCGTAAGCCATGGTGCCCGGCCTATAGTTCCTCTTTAAGGGAGAACAGAGGTAGAAGGAGTTCCAAAAAAGGAGTTGCAATGGGTTCTAGGTCCATTGCAACAACCTAGAGAGATAATGCCAAATACGCTGTGTGCCTTTACTCCTCATTCATGTACACAGCAAACATCACCAAATGATGGAGCATCCCTTCCTGCTGACCCCAGAAGCATCTACACACCCCTTATCAATGCCACACTCCAGGTGGCCACTACCAACCAATTAGTAGTAATTGGCAGGTCAGATGAAACCTATTTGCCATCCCTAGCCCAGAAAGAGAATGTTTTGAAGGACAGCAGGACTTTAAGGAGGTGACATGTAGTTTAAGGCAAAGTCTTTTATATTTAATTATTTTTGATGTAGAGGTGAGATCTCACTATGTTGCCCAGGCTGGTCTCCAGCTCCCAGGCTCAACTGATCCTCCCGCCAAAGCCTTCCAAAGTGCTGGGATTACTGGCATAAGCCATTGCGTCCGACCTGGGGCAAAACCTTTTGAGAAACACCAACCTATCCCTTCTTTCTTTCCTCCCCATCTAGATTTCCCTCCAGTACCTGTCTGGAGGTTCCTGGTATCACACCTGCGGAGGGACCCTCATCAGACAGAACTGGGTGATGACAGCTGCTCACTGCGTGGATTCGTAAGAAAAACAAAGACGAGCTTTCCTGGGCCCCTGGAAGGGGAAGGGGCTGACCCTTCTGAAGGATAACATAACTCTGCCCTCTCTGGACAGCACTTCAGGGACTGGGCAGTGGCCCCTTTCCTGTTCAGGGCCTGCAGGGAGGTAGTACGGTGAAAGTACAAATTTTGGAGCCAGGGAAGCTCAAATTCAAATCTTGCTCCACTAAATTCTAGCTATGTAGCCTTGGGCAACTATGCTCCCATTCTCCTATCTCTAAAATGGGCTAAGAACATTTACTCTGTAGAAATGTTGTGAGGATTGAGTAAATATGTAAGTGCTTAGTCAACGTCTGACTGGTGACTATTTTTTCCTATTTGTCTTGGGCAATGGTTTTCATACTTCAGCATGTGTCAGAATCACCTGGAAGGCACACATTGCTGGGCCCCACCCAGCAGAGTTTCTGATTTGGTAGGTCCAGGGTGAGGCCTGATAATTTGCATTTCTAACAAGTTTCCAGGTGATGTTCATGCTACTGGCCCAGGAACCACACTTTAAAAATGACCAGCCTAGAAGTCTATGCTTCCTTCAAAATATTGGTGCCTGAGAGCCATTATTTCAATTATGTGCACTACACCTCTCCCAGGTTACAAGATATTCAGCCTATGATGTTAAACTCAGAAAATGAAAGTGATGGTAGTTTTTTTCACTTCCACAAGTTAGTCAATTAGGGAATGAAAGAGCTTGTTACTTTCTCATTTTGGAGAGTCTTATATCCCTCCTCTACCTGGACCAGGTGAGATGGGTTCCTGTCCTAAGATAAGAAACAAAACCTGGGCACAGTGGCTCACACCTGTAGTACCAGCTACTAGGGAAGCTGCGGTGGGAGGATCACTTGAGCCTGGGAGATTGAAGCCAGCCTGGGCAACACAGCAAAACCCCATCTCTTAAAAAAAAAAAAGAAATTTTCTTTAATAATAATAATAATAAAAGGATGGTTTTCCAACTTTTCTCTAAGTGGGAGAAAGAGAAGGTTTGAGTCCCCTGGATGACTCAAGACTTCCTTCTCTCACGCCAGCCCGAAGACTTTCCGCGTGGTGGTTGGAGACCATAACCTGAGCCAGAACGATGGCACCGAGCAGTACGTGAGTGTACAGAAGATCGTGGTGCATCCAAACTGGAACAGCAATAACGTGGCTGCCGGGTAGGAGCAAGTCCAAGCTGGCCCTGGGCTGGGCAGTGAGGCCTGACTAGCCAACAACTGGCTGCCTTCACCTGTTCTTTCAGAGAGCTAGAGGGACTGCATGGCCTGAAGCCTAGACAATGACTCCTGGCCTGGCCTTTAGTTAAGGAGCCCAGCTGAGCCTGAGAGAGGGCACCATGTCCTAGAGGGAGCAATGAGCTGGCTCATTCATCCAGGAGGACTTTGAGAATTTACGTTCTGGGCCAGGCACGGTGGCTCATGCCTATAATCCCAACACTTTGGGATTCCCCCATTCTCAACTTCCCTGCCTTGCAAAGGTCAGCGCTAGGCTGCAATACCAATGTCCCACCAGCAGATGCTGCTGTTAAACATAGAATGTTTACCTGTTAAACTGTAATTGCTCTAGTTTGAGGCTTAGCAAGTGAGCCCCGTCCTTCTTCAAAATCGTCACTTTCCAATTGCACAAGGATACAAATGCTGAAAGAGGGCCAGTATATATGCTGACCTTAGGGAAGAGCTGATCCCATGAGTGAGCAGTCTCCTTTTCTCCTGCAGCTATGACATCGCCCTGCTGCGCCTGGCCCAGAGCGTTACCCTCAATAGCTATGTCCAGCTGGGTGTTCTGCCCCAGGAGGGAGCCATCCTGGCTAACGACAGTCCCTGCTACATCACAGGCTGGGGCAGGACCAAGAGTAAGTTGCCTACATTGGCACAGTCCACCATGGGGATCTTGATTACGTAGCTGAGCTTCTAAGGCACCTTTTTCTGTGGTCCTAGGTGCTTATGGCCAGAGACCAGGAGCTAAAGGAACCATAGATACAATAACTGATGCATTATATCAAGCTAAGAATGGGCTGTGAAATACTTGACAGATTCATGGACTCTTAGAACAAAAAAAGACTTTACCACAGATAATTTTTTTTGTTACCAGCCCCTCATTTTAAAAATTAATTTATGGCCAGGCACGGTGGCTCACGCCTGTAATCCCAGCACTTTGGGAGGCTGAGGCGGGCAGATCACGAGGTCAGGAGATCGAGACCATCCTGGCTAACACGGTGAAACGCTGTCTCTACTAAAAATGCAAAAAATTAGCTGGGCGTGGTGGCGGGCGCCTGTAGTCCCAGCTACTTCGGAGGCTGAGGCAGGAGAATGGCGTGAACCCGGGAGGCGGAGCTTGCAGTAAGCCGAGATCGCACCACTGCACTCCAGCCTGGGCAACTGAGCGAGACTCCGTCTCAAAAAAAAAAAAAAAATTAATTAATTTATTTAGGGACAGGGTTTCGCTCTGTCACCCAGGCTGCAACCTCTACTTCCTAGGCTCAAGTGATCCTCCCACCTCAGCTGCAACCTCTACTTCCTAGGCTCAAGTGATCCTCCCACCTCAGCCTCCTGAGTAGCTGAGACTATAGGCATGTACCACCACACTCAGCTAATTTTTAAATTTTCTTGTAGAGATGGGATCTCACTATATTGCCTAGGCTGGCCTCAAACTCCTGAGCTTAAGAAATCCTCCCACCTCAGCCTCCCAAAGTGCTGGGATTACAGGCATGTGCCACTGCATCCAGCCAGCCCTTCATTTTATACATGAGGAAACCAAGGTCCAAAGAAATTAAGGATCCTTAGCTGAGCGTGGTGGCATGAGTCTGTGGTCCCAGGTACTCAGGAGGCTGAGGAAGGAGGATCACTTAAGACTGACCAACATGGAGAAACCCCAACTCTACTAAAATTTCACAATTAGCCAGGCATGGTGGTGGATGCCTGTAATCCCAGCTACTCGGCAGGCTGAGGCAGGAGAATTGCCTGAATCTGGGAGGCAGAGGTTGTGTGAGCCGAGATTGCTCCATTGCACTCCAGCCTGGGCAACAAGAGTGAAACTCCATCTCAAAAAAGAAATGGAAACAAGCATGCACAATCCCAGTTCTGCTCCATGGAGCTTGCAGGAGGAAACGGAACAGACAGATAAATCATCCACAAATAAGGCCATTCCATGGTGCAACTAAGTTATCCACGAGTGGAAAGAGCAGGAGTAGGGTTGGTGACTTGGAGCCTAGGTACAGTAAGCAAGGCCGCCTCCCTGAGGGAAGGGTCCTGTGCAGCCATATAAAGAGAGAAGACAGAAGGATTCACCACACGCAACAGGCAGAGAGAAGGAGTTTGCCCTGAGTTCAGCTTTCACGAGAGTTTGGGAAGGTATGGCAAGGGTGGAAGGTTTTTCCACTGGACAACATTTGGAGCTGACTGCCATTGCTATGTGTCCTGTTCAGCCAATGGGCAGCTGGCCCAGACCCTGCAGCAGGCTTATCTGCCCTCTGTGGACTACGCCATCTGCTCCAGCTCCTCCTACTGGGGCTCCACTGTGAAGAACACCATGGTGTGTGCTGGTGGAGATGGAGTTCACTCCGGATGCCAGGTGAACATTTGCAGGGGGTGTCAGAAGTCCCACCCCAGATCCCACCACTCTCTGCCTATCCCTCTACCCCTCTTCCTCACCTCCGTATTCCACAGTTACTCTTAGTCCGACACAGACTCAATTTTCTACTCTGGCATCTAAGTGAGAATGATTCTGTGCTGGTAACACTATACACACAGAAACTCAAAGTTGAAAGGAACCTTAAAATTGTATCTCGCTCAATGCCCTCACTTCAAAGTTTGTACGTGGCCCAACATTTGTATGTTGTTGTTGGTATATGTGTGTGTTCTTAGAATTTGTTACTTAGATTTTTTTTTTTTTTCCTTGTTGCCCAGGCTGGAGTGCAATGGGACAATCTCAGCTCACAGCAACCTCCGCCTCCCGGGTTCAAGCAATTCTCCTGCCTCAGCCTCCCAAGTAGCTGGGATTACAGGCATGCGCCACCACACGCAGCTAATTTTTTCTATTTTCAGTAGAGACAGGGTTTCTCCATGTTGGTTAGGTTGATCTCGAACTCCTGACTCAAGTGATCCGCCCGCCTTGGCCTCCCAAAGTGCTGGGATTACAGGCGTGAGCCACCACGCCCAGCTGAATTTGTTACCTAGATTTTTTAACGGAAGCGATGGAGCAAGCCTGGAGAGGTGGTTGTGATGGTGTATAAGCAGTACCCTGCCTCCCCTCACCCATCAGTCCAACTTCTCTTGCAGTTCCTCCACCACCGTCCCTTTACCCCAGTGATATTTCTGGTGGTATGTACAGGTGAGTTTGATAGGGGAAAGTGCACAAAATAATTTTATAATAGCTTATATATAACAAATATAACCTTCCTCTATTTTGACAAGATCAATCAGCCACAAACCATCTTACAGATTTCTCTTTTTAAGTTTTATCATTATTATTATTTTAAGATAGAGATGGGGTCTTGCTTTGTGGCCCAGGCTGGCCTCAGACTCCAGGGCTCAAGTGATCCTCTCACCTCGGCCTCCCAAAGTGCTGGGAATACAGGCATGAGCCACCATGCCCCACCCTAGATTTCTTAGTGCGGTTTAACAACTGTTCATTATGTATCTACTATAGGCCAGGCATTGTGCTAACTGCTGAGGATACAAAGATGGATCAAACAGTGTCAAGTGAAGGAACTAGAGGCACAGACACACAATAGAACATTGTAATACAGTGTGGTTAAGTGTTAATAATCAGGATGTGCATAGGTGATAGGGAAGCCCAAGGGTAGGTACTTATCTCTACCTACTGGGGCTAGAAAAGACCTGCCTTCCCCAAGAAAGTAGAATCTGTAGCTGGTCCTGAGGGGTAAACAGGAATAGGCCAGGCAAAAAGGAGAAAAGACATTCAGAGGGAGGGAACAGCATGAATAAAGGCAGGGGGCCAAGAAACAACCTAGAGTACATAGAGAATTATGGGGCATTCCCTAAGGCTACAGTAGAGCAGAGGCTGGAGGTCCACAAGCCAAATCTAGCTCATTGCTTGCTTTGTATGACCCATGAGCTTAGAACGGTTATTATATTTCTATTTATATATATATATGTGTGTGTGTGTGTATGTGTGTGTATGTATGTATATATATATATATATTTTTTTTTTTTTTCCTGAGATGGAGTCTCACTCTGTCACCCAAGCTGGAGTACAGTGGCACAATCTCAGCTCACTGAAACCTCTGCCTCCCGGGTTCAAGCAATTCTCCTGCCTCAGCCTCCTGAGTAGCTGGGATTACAGGCACGCACCACCACGTCCAGCTAATTTTTGTATTTTTAGTAGAGACAGGATTTCACCATGTTGGCCAGGCTGGTCTCAAACTGGCTGGTCTCGGACTCCTGACCTCGTGATACACCTGCCTCTGCCCCCAAAGTGCTGGGATTACAGGTGTGAGCTACCGCGCCTGGCTCTCTCTCTCTCTCTCTCTCTCTCTCTCTCTCTCTCTCTGTGTGTATATATATATATATTTTTGTTTGTTTATTTGTTTTGAGACAGGGTCTCACTCTGTTGCCCAGGCTGGAGTGCAGTTGTACCATCATGGTTCACTGCAACCTCTGCCTCCTGGGCTCAGGTGATTTTCCCATCTCAGCCTCCCTAGCAGCTGGGACTACAGGCACACACCACCACACCCAGCTAATTTTTTGTATTTTTTGTAGAGACAGGGTTTCACCATGTTGCCCAGGCTGGGATTATTAATTTATTAATGGTAAGAAAAAAAATCAGAATAATAATATGTCATGACACATGAAAAATATATAAAATTTCAGTGCCCAAAAATAACATTTCATTGGAACACAGTCACAGTTGCTCATTTACAACTATTTATGGTTGCTTTTTTTTTTTTTTTGAAGAGACAAGGTCTTGCTCCATCACTCAGGCTGGAGTACAGTGGTGCCATCTTGGCTCACTGCAGCCTCAACTTCCTGGGCTCTAATGATCTTCCCACCTCAGCCTCCCAAGCAGCTAGGATCACATGCACATGCCATCACACCCAGCTAATTTGGTTTTGTTTTTGGTAGTGACAAGGTCTCACTATGATGCCCAGGCTGGTCTTGAACTCCTGGCCTCAAGCAATCCTCCTGCCTTGGCCTCCTAGAATACGGGGATTATAGGCATGAGGCACCATGCCCAGCCTATGGCTGCTTTTGTACTACAACACAAAGTAGTTGTAACCAAGACTGTATGGCCTGCAAAGCCTGAAATATGTACTATTTGGCCCTTAACAGAAGAGGTTTGCTGACCCCTGGGCTAGAATAGAAGCTACCACCATACTAGGAAATGTCAAGAGGCAAGACTAGAGAGGCAAGCAAGAGCCGTACAACTCAGGGCTTCAAATGCCAGGCTTGGGGACATGAATCTTATCTCTTGGGCATTGGGAAGCCATCGAAGACTTCTGAACAGGAGACTAGTACAACCAGATTCACCTTTTAGAAGTGTTCTTTAGGCATGTTTTTGAAGAAGGCAAGAAAGGCAGGGAGATTGCCTAGAGGGCTATTGCAATGATCTAGGCAAGAAGTTTGAGGGCCTGAATTAAGGCAGCGGTGACAGGAACCGGAGGAGGGAAGGAGTAGGATCTCGAACAACAGTCAAGCATCTGGTTTAAGTGATTTGGGGGAGGGCATTGTTGCCCTGAGACAAGATTTACAGAGTGTGAGAGAGAAGATGATGAGTCTGGTTCCGGACAAGCTTTGTCTGAGATCTATACCTGAGATTCAGGTATAGCAACTGGTAAGAAATTTGTCTTTTTTTATTTATTTGTTTGTTTGTTTGTTTTTGAGTCTCCCTCTCTCACCCTCAGGCTGGAGTGCAGTAGCACTATCTCAGCTCATTGCCACCTCTGTCTCATGGGCTCAAGTGAGTCTACTACCTCAGGCTCCTGAGTAGCTGGGATTACAGGCATGTGCCACCACGCCTGGCTAATTTTTGTATTTTTAGCAGAGATGGGATTTCCCTATGTTGGCCAGGCTAAGTCTTGAACTCCTGACCTCAGCCTCCCAAAGTGCTGGGATTACAGGCATGAGCCACCACGCCTGGCCAAGAAATTAGATAGAAAGAGTGGGGCCTCGGGGAAGAGCTGGTCTAGAGATACCCACTGAGAACAAATCAGATCCCATCCCAGGGAAAAACTATTGAATGAGAAAAGAGCAGTGGGTTGGGAACGAACTGTCAGCACATAAATACTTGAGTGTTTCAGGGATAGGTGGAGGACAAAGAAACCACTAGGATCTAAGAAAGGAGAAGTAGATGTAAGATAAAAATCTGGTAATAAGGGTATTATGAAATCTCAGGAAGTACTTACAGATATCACATAATATACAATTCACCCAGAAGCCACAGTAGATAAGAGCTGAAAGTGGCCACTCTGGCAATTGTAACCTTGGCAAGAGCAGTTTCAGTGGAGTGGTGAGGGCAGAAGCTTGTCTGAAGGGTAAGGAATAAAGAGGCAATAAGAAATATAACTGGCCGGGTGTAGTGGCTCATGCCTATAATCCCAAGATTTTGGCAGATTGAGGTAGGAGGATCACTTCAGCCCAGGAGTTAGAGACCAGCCTGGGAAACATAGGGAGACTTCATCTCTACAAAATTTTAAAAATTAGGCCAGGTGCGGTGGCTCATGCCTGTAATCCCAGCACTTTGAGAGGCCGAGATGGGCGAATCATGAAGTCAGGAGATCGAGACCATCCTGGCTAACACGGTGAAACCCCGTCTCTACTGAAAATACAAAAAATTAGCCGGGCATGGTGGCAGACACCTGTAGTCCCAGCTGCTGGGGAGGCTGAGGCAGGAGAATGTCATGAACCCTGGAGGTGGAGCTTGCAGTGAGCAGAGATTGTGCCACTGCACTCCAGCCTGGGCGACAGAGCAAGACTCTGTCTCAAAAAAAAAAAAAAAATTAGCTGGATGTGGTGGAGTGCACCTGTAGCCCCAGCTACTTGGAAGGCTGAGGTGGAAAGATCACTTGAGCCGAGGAGTTCGAGGCTGCAGTGAGCTATGATTGCACCACTGCACTCCAGTCTGGGCAACAGAGTGAGACCCTGTCTCAAAAGAGGACAAAAAAAAGGAAGAACAAAAATGTCTGGTAGCTTTAAGGACAGCAAGTCATGGAGGGAATGGATCTTCTAAAAGAAAAAAATTGGCCGGGCGCAGTGGCTCACACCTGTAATCCCAGTGCTTTGGGAGGCCGTGGCAGGCAGATCACGAGGTCAGGAGTTCGAGACCAGCCTGGCCAGCATGGTGAAACCCTGTCTCTAATAAAAATACAAAAAATTAGCCAGGCATGGTGGCACGTGCCTGTAATCCCAGCTACTCAGGAGGCTGAGGCAGGAGAATTGCTTGAACCTAGGAGGCAGAGCTTGCAGTGAGCTGAGATCGCGCCACTGCATTCCAGCCTGGGTGACAGAGTGAGACTCTGTCTCAAAAAAAAAAAAAAAGAGAAAAGAAAACTGAGTGCATAAATAGGCAGAAAGAAAAGAATCCTGTAGAGTCAGAGAGAGGTAATAATAATA